TCTTAATCTTTAGACTCGAGATCATTTCATTATTTTCCAACTTCTTAGAATTTTTAAGTCTACCAATCTTACCATTTCCCTATTTTCCTCCAGTAGGTAATCGGTATTTCATAATCTGCAGTTTCACATCAATGTATCTAGGATGAACTGAACATGGTATCTCATGTTTGAAACTACTGTTTTTTGATCCAAAATATTCATCAATCTTGGAAAAATCTCAACTATAATCCTGATTCCTCCCACATTTTCTTAGGAGACATATTATATACATATTAGATGTATGACAGGACTTCTCCATCTGTTTCTAAATCTTGCTTTTCATCTCCTTCTGAATTGAATTGTGGGTAACTGTATGTCTTCCACTTCACTATTTCTTCTGCTAGGTCTGCAATTCAACTTAACCACTGTTTCTATCTCATACTAGGTTCTTTTTAAATCTATATGGCCTTTCTTCATAACATCTTGGTCTTAGGGTTGATTCCTTCCCTTAGGTTTTTAGTAATTTCAAACTTATTTGCTTTCAAATCACCTATTAGGGGTTCTAACCCCATTTGTCACAAACTCTCATTTTGGTGAACTGTCTCCTCGAGTTCTACAATTTTTTAATGTGAATCTACCTTTTGCAAGGCCTGTTTTTTCTAGAAGAGTCCTGTGACCTAGGCTGTGAAATTTCCTCCAGAAAAGGTTGTTCATTTGTTTCTACCAGGAGCCCCAAGGTTATTACCAGCCCAGAACCAATTTTTATGTTAATTTCTTGGCTTAAGTTTTCCTGGACCCCCATAATTAGCCTAAATGTACACCCAAATTGTATGAAGCAGTTCCCAGGTTACAATTCTCAGGACAGACCTTTCTCACTCAGGGCCCAAGCTTCCTTGTTATCTGTTATGCTGATACAAAGGTTTTTTTCTAGTTCACTTTTTCACTGAAGACAATCTTTCAAACATCTAGGTTTTTTTTTTTTTTAAGATTTTATTTATTTATTTGACAGAGACAGACACTGCGAGAGAGGGAACACAAGCAGGGGGAGTGGGAGAGGGAGAAGCAGGCCTCCCACGGAGCAGGTAGCCCCATGCTGGACTAGATCCCAGGACCCTGGGATCATGACCTGAGCCGAAGGCAGACGCGTAACAGCTGAGCCACCCAGGCGCCCCAAACATCTAGGTTTTATATAAGGTCTCAGTTCCCATTATCTGGCTCTAATAGTCTTAAGGCTTCATCTCCTTGGGTACTTGGGTAATAAAACCCAAGTCTCAGGGCACCTGGGTGGCTCAGTTAAGTGTGTGCCTTCAGCACCGGGCCTTGATCCCAGAGTCCTGGGAATGAGCCCCAAGTCAGGCTCCCTGCTCAGCAGGGGGCCTACTTCTCCCTCTGCCCCACCAACCCCTGCTTGTCCTCTCTCAAATAAAATCTTAAAAAAAAAACAAAAACCCCAAGTCTCTAAATGATGAGACCTATACCTGCCTCTTCAGGGCAACTGTCAAGCTAGCTCTATGCTGGCTTCTACTTCATTTCTGGCAGTTAGGTTTTGCCCTTTTTTGGTAAATTCTTGCATTTCTGGTGTTTGTAGATAGAAGATTTTCAATTTATTTTGGTCTGCCATATTGCCAAAATGAGAAGTATCTTAACTTTAATTTTTGTATGTATAACTGATACGTTTGATTCTAACTTGAAGGTGTCAGCTAATTCACATTTGTAAACAATATTTGAATGAGTTTGATTTAAAATATTTACAATTTTTACTTATTTATTGACTATGTAAGCACTTATATTTTATTAAGTTTATAAGTCTGCTTTATCAAGCATCTGGAGTGGTTCAGTTTGGAATGTTTAAAGGATTTAACTAAACTTAATGCAATCAGCTGTTTAGGGGGGTTTACTGTTAATTTATTAATTGAAACATTCACCAAAAAACAAGTCAAAAGCATACTATTTTTATACAAAATCAAAAATATTTTTATACACATTTTACAAAACGTATAAACAGCACATAACAACACTAAGTAGAACTTAAAAGATTCTCGCTTTAATGGACTTAATTTAGAAACAATTTTTATATAAAGGTCTTTTCTCATGTGAAAGCCAATCTTGATATTTAAAAAACTTAACTTACAAAGTGACAAATTAATCTAGTGTCTTGGTACTTTGAAGACCAGTACTAATGGATAAACCAGCTCACACACTAATATGACACACTGAAAATCCTGGATTTTACAGATGGTAACCTCTAAAATTTAATCTTCCATAAAAGCTACGCAGTCCTATAAAAATAGCCATTGTTTTACACCAATGAAGATGTTAAAATTCAAGACAACGCCAAAAGTTTTTAATGTCCATTGAAACGGTAAATTTCCCCATGAGGGTAGGAGAATCTAAACCATGGATAGTTAAGGACATACTTCTACATACTTCTGTGGAGCTTTACCAGACTTCATTCCAAATTATGCACCTTGTAAAAGATGTACCAATGTCTACTTGGAGTAAGAAATTATTTTTCCTTGGAGTATTTTTCCTAAATACTGAAAGAAGCAAGAGAGAAATCCTGTGCAGTTAACAGCCTCTTCCATCAGGTAGGTGCCCCGTTCCACAAAAGCTCAATATTCAGACTTAATATTAAGGTTAATCTAAGGAAGGTTTATTATTCTGTCCAGCCAGTCTTGTTACTTTGGCCTCATCTCAGCCTGCTACTTGCTTTTTGTCACACATTTCCATCCTTCTGCAAGACTGCATGGGGGGAGGGGGGGTTGTGTTTGTTTTTTAAGTACCAACTCCCTTAAAAAATGTGAAAGACTGTGCCAGCCATCACTTTGATCCCCATCATATGGTTTCAAGGAAATGTTCTTTTTCACATGAAACGTGATCTCTCATGTTTTCTAGCAAGTGGACAGCTGGGTCTTTGCAGCCTGTGAGGGACCCACAACAGAGGACCTTGCGTGGTTAGCTAGGACTGCTAAATCTAGAGAACATTCGTGTTCCAGACTTTATATTCGGGTTTATTAGCAGGACCTAAACTGACTGTCCTGAAGAGATCGATGCCTTTTTTGTCCCCCTCTTCCACACAAGGGAGGGCGTGGAGGTGTCGATCACTTTAAATGTTCCGTGTAAGGCTGCCTTTCCTTTGGCCTGTATACTTTAAGGTAAATGCCACATGTACCTACAGGAGTCTATCCAGAATAGAAAAGGCTCACTTTCAGGGCTCTTGCAGATGAACTGGAGAAGGGAGAAAAATGAGAGGAGGCTGAGGAGGAAGCTGAATTATATGCAAACACCCCCATTCGAATCCGGGTGGTGACGGTAGAGGGAATGACGGTAAGTAGGGTTTCGTGCAAGGCAACGTCCTTTGAAAGGGCTCCCAGAGCGTCAAGACCCCCACCTGATGAATGGGTGAGTCAGGAAGGCCCAGCTCCACTTCACAGATGGGGAAACTGAGGTACGAGGCGGCGAGACGAGTGGCCCGAGGCCTCGCTGAAAGATCTGAGGCGGAGCGGAGAACCAGAAGCACCGATTCTCTCAGCGGATGCTCTAATCACGGGCTCCCCCCGCCCCCGTGATGGCGTAGACGGCCTCCGCCCCCCCCCCAACTCACACACCCTCCCCGGGAGCGGCACGTCTCCTCAGGTTCCAAGGACAGGGTCAAAATACAGGGGGACCGAAGCACTCCCGCCGAGATTTGCAGACGGAGAGCGTTGGGAGCGTGCGTCCCTTCAGTCCAACATGGCGGCGGCCGCGGCCGCCCCCCCACCCCCAAGCCTCCCTCAGGGCCGGAGGCTCTCCCTCGGGGCCCTCCGGTGGGCGGGAAGACGGCCCAACCCCGCCAGGCCCCTTCTCGCCGCTGCCGCTGCTCGCTGAAGGAGTCACCTACCCGACATGACTAACGGCCGCAGCGCGGAGCCCCCAGAGCCCGCCGAGAACAAGGGATACGAGAGCCAAGCGGCGCGGCGGCCGGAGCTGTACTGAGGGCGGCGCGGCGGGCTGAGCCCGACTGCGGGGCCTCGGCAGCCAATCAGAGGACAGTGGGCGGTACCACCGCGCCACGGCGCGAGGGGTGGTTCCTGTACGACTACCAGCCTCTGAAACCTGAAGTCTTCAGAACCCCTCTCTGTTCTCCCCTCCGCGAACGGTACCATTATTGAGAGGGAATCGAGAGGAGAAAGTACCAATGCCGCCATTAGCATGGGGGAGGAAGCTGAGCCTACTTTCTCGGTCCCAATTACAGTCTTATTTCTGACTCTTATCGTGTCTGATAGAATTCAAGGTTAGGAAGCGAAAGAGGGGAGGCCTTATAAACACAGACCATTTGGTTAGAAAAGGCCTTTCTTCCCCCTAAGATTTAGAGTGGTATGCCCTAGTTCGCTCAGCTTTGGTTGCAGACAGCTGAAGCCATCTGGGGGCGTTGGGTGTCGCCGAGCTCGGGGACAGAAAGTCGTGATCGCCTCCCGGTCTAACTATCTTGTCAAGTAAAACAGAGACTACAAGGTGATATTGGAACAAACGTATGCATTAAAACGAAACCACACACAAACCCGGCCTTGAGAATATAGTGCGTGGGAGGTCGAGCTTTGGTTTTAAGTGCTGTTGTAATGGCCAACTCTAATTATCAGGCACCTTACATCATCTCATTTAATTCTCACAACACACTGATGAAATATTATCCCGACGTTACGGGCGTGATTATTCATTTGCCCTAGGTCGCACAACTAGTAAATGGCCAACGTGGAATTTGAATCCTAGTAACCAGATACCAACCATTGCCTGTGGGGTTTAACCCTTATGCTGCATTGCCTAGTGGGGGCTGGAGCTCTAGAGGATGAAATGAGGCTGTGAAAGCTCAGAGAGCACACAAGGACATTTTGCCCGATGGCAATGCAACATCTGAGTTAAGCCAGAGACGAAGTGAAGTGGGGAAAGGGCTTTCGACTGGTTGTAAAACAAGTAATTCTGTATTTTGGAGTTTACCCTCCAGGGGAGAACGGTAGATGAGGCCAGAAAAGTAGAGGGCTAAATAGTCCATACCTTGTAAAATACACTGCATTAGGGTTTGTGCTTTATCTTGAGGGCACTGGGAAGCCAGAGGATTTTAAAGGAAGGTCACATTTGCATCTTCAAGCTGCAGTATGAAGAATGTATGGAGATGAGAGGTGCCTAAAAGCAGGGAGACCAATTTGGTGGCCAATGCAATCATTCTGGTGAGAGATCACAGTGGCCTGGACTTAGGTTGGAACTGTGAAGTCAGAGGTAAGTGAAGAGATCCCTGAGATACTTCCGTGGTAGACTGGGCAAGATGGAGTGACCAATTTGGAAGGGAGGAGCTAAGGAAGAGTGAGAAGTGAATTCTGAGTTTCCCACTTAGAGAAGTGGTCAGATGGTGGTATAATTCCCTGTGGTAGGGAATAGGAGGAGGAACAAGTTGGGGTGGAGGTAGAGAGATAAGTTCAGAATTAACACCTTCAGGTCAGAAAAAAGACATGAGGTCATCTCTCTTCGTTATACTATGAATAATTGTACACTCAACTCTAGATATCGAGGGTCATGGAGCTCTCTGGATAAGTCCAAACAAGCAAGGTTAAAGGAATAAAAACTCCTTCGTGACTAAAAATGATTCAGCCGATCAGCATGAACATTGAGGAAGGCAACCCAGAGGAGGAGATGATGGGCATGTGCAATCGCAGGAGAGAATTGGGTTAGGGATGGGGGAAACTTCTAGATTGTTCTTCCTATTTTTTTATTTATTTTACAATTGGGTGTACAATTAAGATGGAAATACAAAAAGTGTTGCTCATCATTGCCCCCTTAAGTTTGTACTATCAATTCATTCATTCACGCATGCATGCATTCTTCATTCAACTGCCATCTCCTGAGTTCTACTCCATGTCAGGCCCTGGAAGGCCTGAAGGTAGAGAAATAGGAATTTTGATGACCCCGCCCTCCAGGAGTTGCAGTCTCACAAAAGGGGCAGTACAAACCTTTAATTCCAATGACTACTGAATGTGCTAGAATGGGAGGATGCAGAGGGTGCTCTGAAAACAGAGTAAAAGCACCTAGCTCACATGAAGGGTAGACGGGGTATTAGCAAAGGCTTCCTGAAGGAAATACCTCCTAAACTGAATTTTGAAGAAAAAACAGGAATTAGGCCCAGGATGTATATCAGGCAGAAAGGGCTGTATTTGCAAAGGCTATGAGAGAGCCAAGTGCCAGGAATTGCAAGTAATTCTGGCTGGCTGGTCTGTGGACAGTGGACAGTGCAGGGGTGGACAGTGGTGATAAATGATGAGTGAAAGAGGTACACAGAGGCCACATCTTGAAGAACCTGTGGGCCTGGCAGAGGAGTTTGGATACTAAATCAAAAACAATAGGGAAGGGGCGCCTGGCTGGCTCAATCCAAAGAGCATGTGACTCTTGATCTCGGGGTAGTGAGCTCAAGCCCCATGTTGCATGTACAGATTACTTAAAAAAATAAAATCCTTAAAAAAAAAAAAAAGGAACTTCTGAGGAATCTAATCAAAGGAGTGACATTTAGTTTTTTATATTCATTATTTCTTTTAATATTCTGGACAGCCCCGTGAAATAGGTATTACTGTTGTCCACATTTTGTGGAGAGAACACTGGAGCTCAGGGAAGTGAATCTCTTTACCAAGTCCACACAGCTAATTAGGGACAGAAGGCTCACATCCAGGCCTTTGGACCAAGCCCAGGGTTCTTTTTACAGTGTCCCTGGTCTCTCAAACATGAAACAGAGAACTCCTCCTAAGTCTGTATTCCTCTGGGTCTTCTTTCCAAGGGCCCTTCTCTACCAGAAACTGACTCACAGATTGAGTCCTGTGCTCTCCTGTCTTCCAGGCTTTTGCCAGGGAATGATTATCTGGAACCGACTTTAATCTTCACCCCGCCGTTCTTCATGCTACAAGATCCTGCTCCCTCTACATCCACTATCCTGGCCTCACTCTGCACAGTTGGGGAAGACAGCAGGTACATTTTACACATCAGCTTTAGCAGAATGTACCTGGGAAGGTCTTAGTACTGGGCCTGTTTGCCCTTGATCATTCTTCAGGTCCTCACTTGGAGAGCTAACCCCGCCCCCACCCCCCACCGCAGGCTACCTTTCAGTTTCAGAGATTCCCTCAGGCGGTAGCTTCCAGCTAGAATCAGTCAATGGGCAACCTGGTGGAAAATCAAACAGTAGAAGAAAGGAAGAAGCCAGGGTTATGTCTCCCCCCTCTCTGCCACCAGCTGCGGCGGCGGCGGTGTCTCAGGCTGCAGCTGTCTTCTTCAGAGATATTTCTATTCCGTGCCCCTGGCTCCTGGGATCCTGTAACCCTTTCTTCCTTCAGTCCTCCCCCTCCCTTCATCCCTCCAGCCTACGGCTGGTAGAATCTTCTTGCTGTTGAAAATTTCTGAGTTGCCTCCCTCCCGTTTGGCTTCCCAACCTTCCACCATGGGTGTAGGGCCTTGTAGGGCCCTGTAAGGACCGCGAACTTTGTTAGAGTGAGAGGGGAGGCCGGGAGAGGGCGCCACTTAGCAGAACCACGCTAGGATCTGGTCTGTATTACTGGGGTTGCTCGGGCTGCTGTCTTGAGAATGGACCATAGGGGGGCAGGGAGGTTATTGCTCCCACCAGAGTGAAAACCATAGCACAGTGATCTTTTGTCTTTTTTGAAATCCTGTGGAACTCTCAGTTGTACCAACCTTCCAGGCTTGCTACCTGATTAGAGGCTGATTTATTCTCTAGTTGGGTTGCCTAGTTCCCCTCTGAACTCCACAGTGCCTCACACAGTGCCAGAAACAGTAGGCACTAAAAAAAAGGGGGGGGGGAGCTTGTATTTAATGAATGAATAAATAAGTGAGGGGGGAAATGGCATGACTTGTCTTTCTGACTTGTCTGTAAACTCCTCAAGCTCAAAGACCTTCTCTAGGACTTTCTTACATCTCCCGCAAGGCACAGAGTAAGTGTTCAGGGAGCACTGTTCAAAGACTGACAAGACTGCTCTGTGCCAGGTGTCACACGCTGGTAAGCAGTCCTAGCCATCATCACCACCCTCCCACCCCCACCTCAGGAAGTGTCCCTGGAGCCCTGCTCCTCCAGCCTTCCTAGAGAGCAAGCCTCCCACGAAGATCTCCCTGAGGCTCTGCGAGGCAGGAGTCGGTTCCTTGGAAATGACCGGCTACCCCATCCTTAGGACAGTGGCAGGCACTTCCTGTTTGGGGTGGAAAGGAACCAGACACTTTCCGGTTAGCAGGTCTTTTAAGCAAAGCAGCAGATGCTGAGCAGGTCCTGGTCAGCCTTTCCAGCCAGATGTCTGGCGGTTAGACAGCCTTTCTATGGAAGGGAAGTGGGGCACACTGCCAGATTGGCTAGGCCTTCATTGTGCTCCTTGCAAGTCCCCTGGGTCCTGCTATGAGTAAAAAACAAACCAAAAGAGGCTGTCGCCCTGCAAATCATGATGAGGATTAGGAGAGATGGGGCTGTTCTGACCAGAGAGCATTCATTGCCTGGCAAGGAGGTGCTCGTATGATTGTTCCAGAGCATGCTTGTGTATGTTGTCTGGATATGAGCATCCCCCAGTGTGAAACTGTGCAAAGAACACAAGCATGTAGGCTTGTGTCTGTGTACCCAATATCTAGCACTTGATAGGATTTAACAGTGAATAATTGTCTAGTTGGTTCCCTCTAGCAAATCGGGGTAATAGAAAAGGCAGGAATTATTGTTGTCCCATTTTAAGATGGCAGAAACTCAGAGAGGTTAGTGGACCTGCAAGGGTTAACAGAGTAAGAAAAAGTCCAGGTTCAAACCCAGGTCTGTCTCCCTCCAAATTTCTTGCCTTTTCCAGTCCCCTATGAGCATGTGCATGTGTGTATACGTACAGGGAGGCAGATAGGGCAGGTAGACTTGGGAAAGTGACCCAGACTAATAAGAGCACATCCACATGTGCTAGAGAGAGGAAATTTCTCTTCCAGAGGCAGAAGTGGTTGCTAAAGACTCAGGGCTTCTAAAATTGAATCACTGTGCTAAAAATGCACAGAAGTTATAGTCAATAATGAATCCAAATTATCACAGCTAACCTCCTCACAACTCTGGGGAACAACTCCCCTTCAAAGCTCCCAAGCTAATCCCACGTCCTCATTCTTCTTATTATTCCTATGATTGTGATTTGGGGAGGTTGGTCATTCTGTTAGTGCCTTTCTCCAGAGCCCAGAATTCCTTCTGATAAAATCTACTTTGTGCTCTGCACATTTCCTGGGAAGAAGGAAGGGGCAGAGACAAAGCTAATTGTTTCTCATGTTATGAAGAGAGAAACTGAGGCCCAGAAAGGGCCTTGTCCAGGTCCATACATCCTGCTTGATTCAAAGGGTCCTGGTCAGGAAGACGACTCACTGGCCAGCTGTTGCCTTCTGTCAGAGAAGAAGGAATGGCCCAGGCAGCTGACAGCCACTCCCTTGGGCATGCAACGTGCCCAAGCCCTGTCCACTTGAGGAGAGCCGGGAGGCACTGTGGGTTTGAACTGAGCCCCAGTGCAGAGAGAGAAGGAGGGGAAGCAGCTCTTTTTGAAGAGGACAAACGGAGAGGACTGCCAGCCTAGCGGGGTCAGGAACTTGCTCACCCAAGATAGGGAGGGAGGGAAAGAGAGAGCCAGACCCTTGGAAAACCTAGCCCTCCTATCTTCCCCTTGAACACTGGTGTCTAGTACTTAGTGACTTAGTAGGTCTGGAGTAGAGCTCAGGAATCTGAATCTTTACTAAATGCCTCCAGGTGATTCAATACAGGTGCTCCAGTGATCTTTTGACTTGAGGTGAGATAGCAGAGCTATCTTAAGAGCTCAAGATCTGGAGTTATACTATCTGGGTTTGAACCCTGGCTCCATTACTAGATTTGTGACCTCAGACAAATGGCATAATCTCTCTGTGCCTCAGTTTCCTCATCTTTAAAATAAGGATGCTTATAATAGTAGCTTTCTCATAAGGAAGCTGCAAAGATTCAATGACATGATTTATGTAAAGCACATAGCACATACGTGGCACATGCTAATTTCTCAGCAAGCATTAACCACTATTATTTGTTCCAACTCCTCATTCCCATCCCCACCCCCACCAGAGGAGGAAATAATGGTATTGGATTAACATAGGGACTTGTCATCCAGGATTGTTTGGGATGTGGCCGATCCAAAGCCATTCTCCCCCCAACCCTATCACTCTTCCGATGTCCCTGCTGTGGACTGAGCTTCTTCCAATAAACTACCCTGCCTTTCTTATCTTCCTTCCTTCCTCAGTGCCCCTCTCAGATGGCAGGCCACCCTCCTCCACCCCATCCAAAGTGACTTGGCTTAGGATGTGTCCTGGAAAGTGAAAACATACAGCAAGTCAGGCCCCCAGATTCCTGAAGAAGATCACAGAATTTGGTGCTCTGGGACTTATGAGTAAGCTTTGGAGTCAGAAGAGAACTGAAACTCCTGCTCACCCAGGTTCTAACTATGGAAACATGCTGTCTTTCTGGGAAATGGAGACATCCTGTGCCAAAGCATGGTTGAAGCCCAGGATGAGCATGCGGGCAAAGGAAGATCTGTTCTGCATAAATTCTCGCAGGCACTTCCAAGTGCAAATTCTTGGCATCTCCAAGTGACCACAAACAGAGGTGAAGTGGGACAGGTGAGGATCGGATGAAATAATCTAACCAAGAACACAAAAGGAAAACAGGAAGTCAACGTTCAAACATAACAGTGGTGCTAGTTTTCCAGGTCCAGGGGCCATGGCTAACATGGGATGCAGAGAAAGCCAGGGTCAGCTCTCTGAGTGGCTCAATCCTCCCAGTCACTCAGCCCTTCAGGGAAGCACTGCTTCCTGCCTTCCCCTCTCCTCCCAGTGCAGCTGAAATGGATACCCTCTGGCACGTGCTGGAGAGAGAGATGGAGAAATTCTGCCTGGAGAGAGAATTGGCAAATCTGGGATTGACTCCAGCTTGGCCAACAGTGTCCTTTGCCAACTGGTGCTCCTCAGAGCTCCCTGCCCTAGATAGATACAGAGTTGTATCTAGCCTTTCAAAATCCACCTACTGATGTGGAGAAAGGGGAACCCTCTTACACTGTTGGTGGGAATGCAAACTGTTGCAACTACTCTGGAAAACAGTATGGAGGTTCCTCAAAAAGTTAAAAATAGAACTATCCTATGATCCAGCAACTGCACTACTAGGTATTTACCCAAAGAATACAAAAATACTCAGTCAAAGGGATCCAGGCACCCCAATATTTACAGCAACATTATCCACAATAGCCAAATTATGGAAACAGCCCAAGTGCCCATTGATTGATGAATGAATAAAGAAGATGATATATATATGATATAAGTGAGATATATATTATATATATATATATAATATATATAATGGAATAATACTCAGCCATAAGAAAAATGAAATCTTGCCATTTGTAATGACATGGATGGAGCTAGAGAGTATTATGCTAAGCAAAATAACTCAGAGAAAGACAAATACCATATGGTTTCATTCATGTGGAATTTAAGAAACAAAATGAATGAGCAAAGGGGGAAGAAGAGAGAGGCAAACCAAGAAACAGACTTTTAACTGTAGAGAACAAACTGATCGTCACCAGAGGGGAGGTGGGAGGGGGGATGGGTGAAATAAGTGATAGGGATTAAGAAGTGCATTTGTTGTGATGAGCTCAGGGTGTTGTACGGAAGTGTTGAATCATATATTGTATACCTGCAACTAATATTACACTGTGTGTTAACTAACTGGAATTTAAATAAAAACCTAAAAAAAAAAAATCCACCTATTGGTCAAGGACAGAATATACCTTCAGGGAACACACACACACACACACACACACACACACGGGTTGCTAGATAAAATAGAGGCCACCAATTTAAACTTGAATTTCAGCTTAACGGTGAATAATTTTTTAGTCATGGCACATACTTAATGTTAATCCGGTACTCAATTTTAACAGGTCATCCTGTATTTTTATTTGCTAAAACTAGCAACGCTACCCCACTCGCCTTCAGAATCTCCCTCCTCTAAGCTCACCCGCAGGACTCCTCTTGAACGTGTAGCCGTGTCACAGTTCTGTCCTTAGCTGAGAACCTTCGTTCCAGTCTGCCCCGCTAGACTGAAAGCTCTCTGAGGGGAAGGCCCAGGCCTTGGCCACCATCTCTGGGCCTCCATCCCAGGCAAGGACGCTCCTTAAGGATGTGCACCAGGGCACCGGCGGAGGAGGGGCGTGAACGGGCTCATAAATCCGTTACAACTCTAAACCCACCGCAGGGGCCCTGGCGCAGGGATGGCGAAGGCCGCCGATTATTCACTGGCCTGCGCAGAGGTGCGCCTGTTTCTAATTGGTTCGCCCAGGAGTGCCCCCTTTTCATTGGTTGGCTGGGAGGTGGGCGGGGCCGACCGGCTTTTTGTTCTTCTACAGCAGCCTTTAAGTCAGTCCACCGAAGAGTTGCCTTTTAAAAAATTCCTCCACCAGAGTGGCACCTTTTTTGCAATAACACAAAAGCCTTCTGTAGGCTACTGAGTCTCTAAGCCTTAGGATAAGAACACTGCAATACATTTGCTTAGCACTTTAGACATTCCAAATTACTTTACGCGTATCAACTCATGGAATCCTCGCGAGTCCCCCGGAGGGAGGTCGGTATCATTGTGCCATTGTGCCATTTGCATTTCACAGATTAGCACAGATTAGACCAGAAGAGAGACAGCACCCTGCTCGCAGTGACCAAGGCAGATAATGAAAACAGTTGACTTTTGCTCAGTGCGAGTTTAGCGAAGGCTCTCACGTAAATCGTTTCACTCCACCTTTGCTACGGACTGTGTGGAATACATTAAGCCAAGCACTTTGCCCTCCGTTTCTCTTTTAATCTCCATGCAACTCTGGGAACTAAATATCATTTGCTCTCATTTTATTGAGGAAGAACCTGACGCTCGAAGTCGTTAAATCCTTTGCCAAAAGTCACAAAGCGGCAGCCTACCACTTATTAATTGCGTACTGCACGATGTCAGGTACAGTGCTCAGTTATTTAGAGACATTATTCTCTCATTAAATGCTCCCTATAACCACATGACATTAGTATTCTTATTATCGACATTTACTGATGAGAAAATATGTTCAGAGAGGGTGAGTGACTTGCTCAAGACCGCACAGCCGGCAAGTAATGGAGACAGGATTCACACGGCTAGCAAAGGAGCAGATCTGGAACTCAAGCCCCAGTCTTCTGACCCCAGCCCGGGGCTCCTTCTTTCATAGCCCAGGGCCTCGCCCCCTGCCAGCCTGGCTGAAATAATGTGACCCTCAGGCAGGCCAGGACCCTCCTTGATCGAAGTCTTAAGTAGCTACAATCTCCAGGAGACCCTTCTTCCCCCGCCCTCCCGGGAGAGATCCGGATCAACTGGAGGTGGTTGGCGGAGAGAGCGGGTGGGTAGGGCGGCGGCGGGCACCCGGCCAGGCTGTGCAGCCTGCGGAAGAGGCTCCGGGACTGCGGCGTGTTCCAGCGGCGGAGCGGAGTGGGTGGGGCCGGAGTGCCCGGCCCCCGCCCCTCCTCCCTCCCTTCCTCCCTCGCCTTCCCGGTCCCGCGGCCGACGACCCGCGGGCAGGCACTGCCGGGGCTGCACTACCTCGGGCCGGCTCCCGGCGAAGCTCCCAGAGGGGCGGCCCTGCGCCCGGAGCCGGGGCACCCGCGAGCCCCCCCGGCCCTTCCCGCTCCGCGGAGGGGCGGCGCAGAGCTGGCGCATCCGCGAGGCCCAGGGCGCCGCTGACCGCCTCCGGCAGCCCGGCGCCCAGGGGCTCCCCACGCGCCCGCGCCCGGGTGGCGGGAGCGGCGGCGAGATGGCGGCGCGTGTCGGCCTCTTGCTGCGCGCCCTGCCGCTGCTGCTGTGGGGCGGCCTGGACGCCCAGCTCTCCGAGCGCCGAGGCCAGGAGCTGCGCAGGGAGGCGGAGGTAAAGGATGCGCGGCGGGCGGAGTGGGGGCCGCGTGCTAGAGACCCTCCAGAACTTTGCAGTCAGGCCACCCAGCCGGCTCATCTGAGCCGGCGATCTGCGTTACCCTCTCCCCGTCCGCACACAAAGAGCCTCGGGAGCATTCTCCCCCGTGCCAGTGCTGGGACCACACAGGCACACGGATTTGCATTGATTTTCCCGGACAGGGCGGGGAGGGGGGGGAGGAGGGAGCGACAAGATGGGACAGGCGGGCAACAGCTGAGAGAGAGGTAGCCCCTGCACCCCAGTTGGGCGCAGACCTACTGTTCCTCACCGCCTAGGATGCGGAGACTTGGCAGTTCATTCATCCGATGTCCCGAGCCTTCCCAGAGGCTGCGGAGCCCCCTAGATTGGTGAGGTGGAGAGGATACCACAGACTGCCCCGGACACAGGAGACAGCACTGGGCTGGTGCTGCCACTGACCAGCTTGAGCAAGGCAGCGTCCAAGCTCGGGACTAATTTCTTAACCTGTAAAATGGGTAAGAGTTCTATAGTCTCAAGAACTGCTTCTAAGGAGCTTTGGAACAGTGCTTCAGGACTGAACTTGAGAAAGGAGGCAGGGAGGTGGAGGGTCTTGGTTTGACTCCCCTCCTCGGGACTCAGCTGCTTGCTGTAGTTTGCACAAGGTGAGGTCTTTGGAGGCAGGGGTGGGGATCCACTTGGGGTATCTATTTTCCAGATAAAGGTGATTGTAATAATACGTATCACTTCTTTCTTCCCCCAAAGAAGCATCTCTGTGTTCTTATCTATTCTCAAGATTAGGACTGGGGTCTCCACTATTTTAAGGAGTTCTAAATTCCTGAGCCCAGTGCTCGGCCCTGAGACTCTTGCTCCCTAAGTGTTTCATTCCGGCCCTAAAAATGCCAGCCCAGAACTTCTCAGTACCCTCCCATTCCCCTTCCCTAGAAGAGGCATGCTGAATCTAAGAAACCTCTAGAATGAAGAAGCCCCCACTGAAGGGCTCTTCCTTCTGGCAGCCAGCTCCCACCACTATTCTGGAATATTTGGAAATGACCGTGTTTCAACAATGGGGGCCACACTCTCCCCTTCCAGGCACTGGTCTCTTGTTTTGTGCTCTCTGCTTTTGCACATTTGGGAATCACTCTGTTTCACTGAATTTAGAATCTTACAACATCAAGTGCATGGTCCTCATGGCCCCAGGAGAAGGCTTCCGTCTACCAAGCCAAGTCCTATTAAGAGTCCCGCCCCACCTCCCCCCAAGTCCGGGTCCCAGGCAATCCTTGGCAGGAGAACAGAGACAATCTCTCTGCCGCCCATGCCTGTGGTGGCCCCAGATGGAGAGAATTTTATCTTGGGGTGTGCTTGGGAAGCATAATACTAAGCAGATTGAGTCTCTTGCAGTCTATTTAACATAATTGGGGGAAGGGGATTTTTAGCTCTGAGAACAAGAAATATTTTAAAAGTATTAAAAACTCTGGAAATGTGTATGTGTCTCTATATGCCTATGCATGTACATATGTATGAATATATATGCAAATCGGGGGTGTTAGTATGTCTATATGTGCTTCTTTAAATGGTCAATTGCATGAGCTTCAGTGTCAGACAGACGTGTGTGCAAACCATAAGTGAATCATTTAATCTCTCTGAACCTCGGTTTTCTTCTCCGTACAATGGAGGTTAATAATGCCTATTTCATAAGACTGTGTGGTTTCATTGAGATAATGTATGTAAAATGCTCAGCATAGTGCTCTAGTACATGGAAAATCTATAAAAGGAAGCTGCTCTTAATATTCTTGTTATTATTATCTTTATCATTATTTTAGAGAACAGCTTCAGATTAAAGTCCTGGCTTGGTCAGGGCACCTGGGTGGCTCAGTCAGTTAAGCATCTGACTTCAGCTCAGGTCATGATCTCGGGCTCTTGGGATCGAGCCCGGCTCAGCGGGGAGTCTGCTTGTCTCTCTGCCCCTCTCTCCTCTCATGCTCATTCTCTCTCAAACAAATAAATAAATAAAAATCTGTAAAAAAAATAAAAGAAATAAAGTACTGGCTCAGTGACTAGCTCTCCTAGAACAATAGCACAGGACAAAATACGTAAGGCAACTATTTTCAGCATTGGACAACAGGCGACACAGAGCTATCATTCCTAAGAGATGGTGTTGCTGTTACTATGGCAACATTATAAATTACCCCAGAACTTAGTGAGGTAAAACAAACATGTATTATGTTCATAGATACTGTGGGTCAGAATTTCAAACAGGGCGCATGAGGGCACCTTGTCTCTGCTCTACAATGTCTGGGGATGGAATCATCTAAAAGCTCTTTACTCACCTATCTGGCTGTCAGCTGGGGGCCCCCATTCTCTCCCGTGGGCCTTTCCACATGGTTTCTCCAGGTGGGCTAGTTTGGGCCCAAACATGGTGGTTGGGTCTCCAGGATGAGGATTCCAAGAGAGAGCGATAGGGTGAGAGAGAGGGCAAGCAGAAGCCCTATCCTCTTCATAAGTGAGATGAGGAAGTTTCGTAGCATTGCTTCTGCTGTACCCCACTGCCTGGAGCAGTCACAAGCTCCAGTCAAGGGGAGGGAGCGCAGACCCTACAGTTGGTGGCAGGAGCATTGAAGTCACTGTAAGAAGAGCATGGGAATGGGAGGTATTATTGTGGTCATTTGGGGAAATACAACCATCCACAGAAGAGAACCACACAAAGTGAGCCCCATGATCACCCCGGCTCTTTGCTCAGGTCTAATTCCCTGACTTGGGCGCAGAGAGCTAGACCCTAAGCAAAGCATAGCACTCCTGCAGAGCTCATGGACAAAGTTCAGAGTTCAGGACAGAGAAGGAAAGAAATCATAAAAACAAGCTGTGTGATCTTGAGCTAGTCCCCTCACTGCAGCAGGAGGACTTCCTCCTCTATGAGTAAGGGAGCCAAGCTCCTTAAATGACTCTCTTCATGCTAACATTCTTTGGCTTTGGTGTGTTTGTATGCCTGCGCCTGTGTGCGTGCGTACGTTTCATCTGCCTGGGTGTCCGTGTCTGTCTGTCTGCACGTGTCTGTGTTCCCAGGTCTCTGTGTGTATCCCTGTGCCTGTGTGTGTCCCTTGCAGGCATACAAAATAATAAAGTTGAGCATTTTCCAAAGTGGGCTTTGCCGGGGAGGAGACTGACCGCTTACAAAGCTGCATTATGAACAAGTTCATTGTTGCCCACTTGGGAAAACTAGGACTGCTCATGACACTAGTGAGTAGGAAGGGCCTCCACTGCTGAGTTGCAAGATTGAGAGTTAATGAATGACATCATCACCTAGGCCCCCCTCCCATTCGCAATCAGGCCCTATCTTATATTTGGGTGACACGGACTGTCCCAAGGGATCTACCTACTGTGCTTCCCCTGGACCTTCTTTAAACACCCAGGTGGTATGTCCAGGACCTACCTTCCATTCAGTGGTCTACGCAGATCTGCACAGCTGCTCTCAGTGTGCGAGTACAAGGAGCTGGCCAGTTTGTCTCTCCAGGGAAATGTTGCAGCTTCTGTGGAGTATCCACCCACAGATGCAGTGTCTGTTTCTCATACCCCAGAGCCATCCATTTTACTTTTGTGAGTCAGAAACCCAGAAGCCCGGGTGTGAATGCTGTTCCCAAGAGCTGAGTGCAGTGACTCACGGGTACAGGGTGAATAGAAGTGCAGAAGGTGCTCTGGAAGGTCCCAGAGGACCATGAGCTGGTGGAAAAGCAGTTGTCAAATCAGTTTGAAAACTAAGGGATCTAGCAAAAGCTGGGTAGTGGAAACAGGACTATAGTAGCGAGACAGGTGGACAACTCTCCCTAAATCCGGCCTTGGTTAGGGCATTATTTTGTGCCCTAAATTTAGCCCTGCAAGTGTAGTGAGGACCATGGGTCCATACAGTACGATTATTTGGCATTAGAAAAAGTACAAGAGGGGTCTGGACGGAGACTGACCCGCTGATCTTTTCCAACTTCCTTAAGGACAAAAAATAAAAGGAGGGGGTAATTACAGCAAGAGGTATCTAGGCTACACCCAGACAGAACTTTGTGAATATGAGACTAGGAACAAGGGAAAGGAGGAGAAGATAAAGGGAGTCAGACAGAGGGAAGGGGAGGCATTTTTCCCCAATGAAGGGAAAGGGTCCTAGCTGGTCCCACTGTCCCGGGGCTTTCAGTAGAACCCAGGAGCCAGAGAGCAAAAGGAACATGCTTGAGTCCCGTTAAATACCTGTGACTTGTCAGATGACCTGTTTGGGGTGTGAAGAGAGATGTGAGCCCAGCCTCTACTGAAAGCCAGAGTCCACCACCTAAGCAGCTTCTTTCCTCTGCTCTGGCCCTGGACCTGCTTACAGAGGAGACAGAAGGAATCCAGCTAGAAACATCCCCTGTTTTACCTTTTTCTCATTTGAGAATGATCTCCCCAGTAGAGAGAGCAGGCTGGCCCCTGTGCCTTCAGTTTAAAGCCTCTGAGTCACTTGTTTGAATGTAAAATAAGACATCAGGAATAGATGTCAGGAAATTTGAACTCGAGTACTGGTTCTGTTGCTCACTTAGGATCCTTTAGCAAGACACTGCTCGCTCTCCTGAGACTTACTTTCCTCATCTTTAACATGGGATTAGCAACACCCGTCCTGCCTATGTTCTTGCAAGGTCATTGTGAAGTTCAAAGGTGCCAGACTCTTAAAAGATCTATACTAGTCAAGGACTCGCTGTGTTCCTGATTACCGGAAACATATTTTTATATATAGAACACGCCAAGGCAGAACACCAACTATCATCCCTTGCATCTTGACTTGGCTAATAGTGTTCAAGATGTATTGAATGACAAAGACAATCACATAGAGTCACTATGGAAAGATTATAATCATAATGAAATGTAACATGAGATGGAATAAGCCATAGGTAAAGCAACATGGTTTTTGAGTGATCTTGCCATTTTGCAATTGAAAAATTCTTGGTCTCAGGGCGCCTGGGTGCCTCAGTAGGTTATGCATCCAA